TGTTGAAACCCTATATAAACCACTTCACACAACCTACATTTTTCTAAGCTCACCAAGCATTAAGTCCTTTAGCCTGCAGTGTTTCAAGCACAGGGGTGAGCTAGTCCGCTTGGTCCTTAATATACTCTAAAAATAAACAATCCTTTCTGAATCTTGTTGCTGTCCCAGCAGTCAACTCTAATCTCTCCCTCCAATATAAGTACATGGTTCTACTTGAAATACCATGTAATTGAAATTACAAGCTCTGTGTTCTTCCTGGCAGTAAGCCGAAATATTTGAAATCAGCTTATAGTAAGAATATTGAGCTAGAACTGTCATGTTACAATATGGATTAATTATGGTCATTGTTCCAGTTTACCCAGGGTCCACTAGCTTTAACACATAAGATTTCCTAAGGACACTGAGGTCTCCAATAATAGAGTGAGTCCCTTTCAGATTTCTGCTTTCTCCAATAATAATTCTTGTTTTGCTATTCTTTTGTGCCAGTGCCTTCAGCTAGTTACAAGAGCAAACAATTTAGAACACAAAACATAGTATAAAGCCATAGGATTAGAGTAAAAACAGTATGTCTCCTGACAGCTCCAGCAATTATTGCTTTATGACTAGGATATGTTAAGTTCTTGAGTTATATTCCATTCTTAAAAAGATGGAATTAACAATACCTGCTACTTGGAATACTATTAAATCAAAAATAATGTCTATAAAACTCCTTGAACAACGAATGACAGCAGACACTGAATTCATAAATGTAGCGATAATGAGGATGACAAAAAAGGATCATTTCCCTGGGCATTCTGTTCTACACAAGCAGTGTACCAAGCAATCACAATGCCCTATTCTGTGGATTTTAGAGTTTTCTTCTTTGTGGATCACACACAGAATTTAATTTTTTTATTGTGGTAAAACAAGCATAACATAAAATTTACTATTTTACATTATAATGTACAATTGAGGTGACATTAAGTGCATTCCAATACTGTGCAACCATCATACTTCTAATTACAAAAATTTTCATCACCTAGAGAAAACCTCAAACCCTTTAAGCAATCCCTCCCCTATTTCCTTTCCTTCCCGCCCCTGGCAATCTCAATCAGCTTCTTCTATATGAATTAGCCAATTCTGGATATTCGTATAAATGTAAATCATTCAATATGTGACTTTTGTGTCTGGTTCTTTCACATAAGAAACGTTTTCAGTGTTTCGTTCCATGTTTAGCATGCATTAGAACAATATATGTTATGTTGTGATAATAATATGTTGTACACGTTTTTCCATTCATGTACATTAGTTGTTCACACTTTTGGGCTGTTGTGAATAATGGTGCTACAAGCAATCATGTAAGGTTTTTCTCTGAATTGCTTCCTCTCAGTTCCTTTGACTATGCACCTAGGAGTGGAATTGGTAGACTCTATGGTGATTCTATGTTTCACAGCTTTATTTTGTGCATTAAAATTGCAAGGGAGAAATTTAAAAAATTAGGAATTCTTCCCAGGAGAAATGAAAACATGTGTCCACAGAAGGACTTGCATAAGGATCTTTATAACAGAAATATTCACACTAGCCCTTTCCACATTAGTCCACACTAGAAACAACCAATGTCCAACAGCTCATGAATAGATAAACAAAATAGGGTATATCCACAACGATACTACTATACCAGAACAAAGTGCGTTGTCTTATGTAACATGGTCATACTACAATGGATGAACCTGAAACCTCCAAAACATTATGTTACATTAAAGAGGCCAGACACAAAAAGACCATATACTACAGTATCCTTTATTCAATATGGTGAATGTCCAGAATTAGGCAAATCTATAGAGACAGACAAGTACATAGTGGTTACCTGACACTGGAGTGGAAATGATATTAACCATAAATGGATAAGAATCTGTATTGGGGGTGAGGACATTGTCCTCAAATGGTTATGATATCGTTTCACAACTTGAAAATTTACCAAAATGTTAAATTACCATACTTAAAATGTGCTAATTTTAATTAATTAAATTATGCCCAATAAAGTTGTAAAAACAATTGCATAAGGAAAAAAATGAAGTAATATCAAAATGCCTTCTCTCCTTGTTACCCTACTACCTCTGGATCAATAAATTCCATTATCTCTGCTTGGGGTGAAAAGAAGTACAGTTCTGAAAGGCCCCTGGGTTCCCACGCAGACCGAAGGCCGCCACGATTCCTTATAACTCTTTCTGCCAGAGTTTGAAATAAAGTTAAAAGACTTGAAAAGCTTAATCAAAGATAGATAGTCCTTAATAATGGTGCTATACTCCCTGATTTCTTAGAACTAATGTAAATATGTTCATATATCATTCACGTCTGGAGAGGATATTCCGGTCTGATATTCCCAGCCAACTCACAACTGCTGACTAAGGAGTATGGCTTGAATTTAGCTTCACATAAGAAACCACCCTAGGCCACTGTCCGGACTGCAGCTTAGTTTGGGAATTTGCTGTCATACTACTATGGGTTGGACTATCCAAAACCACTGATCCACAGGAACAAAATAAGCAAGTCCATGTGGGGCAGGGGTGAAGCAATTCAATTTTTTGGTTTGTATAAAAGAAAGAGAGAATTTAACAAAAAACACGGGTAGCCTTGCCTTCATTACTACTGCCATCACTGGGGGCAGCCTAGGCTGGCCGAATTGTGTGTCATCTCACTCACTCCTCAGAGTGGAAGCCCCTTCAAGACAGAGCTGAGCCTCATCACAATCGTGTCCCCAATGTTGTCAGAGTGCTTGGCGCCCAGCCAGCATGCTGTAAATATTTGCTGACTGATCATGTTATTTTGTCGGACTGTTCCAATCCAAGAATTCAGGATAATCTGCAACAACTGTGAATAAAGTTAAATAGGCACCATTTTTAGCACTTTACATATGTTATGCCAGTTAATCCTTTCTATAATCATATAAAGTTGGTGTTATCATATGTTTTACGAGTGAAAATAGTGAGGTCTGAAAGACTAGATCACTTGCCCAACATCTTAGAACTAGAAACCAAGCCAGATTTGACATTGGGTCTCTAGAACTCTGGAATCCGTTCCATCCATTGTACGCTGTGAATACTTCTCAGAACAGCACCAAGGTTTGGCTTGGCCTAAATTTAAATTTTGGGTGAACTCTGTACACAGTCAGCTCCATATTCTGTATCGGAACCATTGTTGTTTTTAGCCTTTCACGCTTGTTAAAGTGAGCTGGTTGACACACACCCCTGACCCACAGCCTCCATGGCCTTCCAGTAGATAACATGTAGGGACACAGAGCCATGGAATTTTCCTGTTGAATGCACAAGGTTTGATCTTCATTTTCAAAGGTGGCTTGAAGGATCTGGATTGTAAGAAAGAATACAAAAATAAAAAATAAATAATAAAAAAAAGTTTTGTCTTTTCTCAGTAGCGCAGCCAGACTTTAAAATGGAATCAAATTTATTTTTGCTCTAACAATCACATTTGACTGTGAAATGCAAGTATGCTAACATACATTTTTTTTTTCTTTTTTTTTTTTAATGTTGCGGAGGAGGAATTGTTTTGATTCATGAATACTAGACTTGGTATGTATCTGATAGTCCTATGCGTAAATCATCTATTAAGCCTTCTGTCAACTGCATTTAACTAAATAGCAGTTCTCTTTCATCTTTAAGAAGAAATAGCCATATGTGGTGCCTCCAGATTTTTACAGAGAAACGAGCTAGTCCTGTTTAAAATCATATCAATCAACACCACTTAAGTTATTCAAAATATGGATCAGGATATTTGTTTACTGATACAATTTCTGGAATGCTTTAGTGTGCAGATTAACTTCCATACCAGTCCTGTTTTGAGATACATTCTTTAACATTTTTGCAATTAATAGCAGAGTATAAAAAGCAAAAAAAAAAAAACAAATACAAGGTACTTAACTAAGATGCTATTTAAGCTTTCTTACCTTTTTTTTTTTTCATTCTTTCCTTTAAGCAAGGAAATCCTTCCTTAAAGGAAAGAAACAAGGAAGGATTTTCATCCCTAAAGACTCAATTGATAATCAAAATTGCCCTCCACCCCTACCAGTTATCTCAGAAATGCACACTTCCACTCAGCAAAATGCCCAGCAGAGGTGTTTAGCAAATATTAGCTGGATGAATAATAAATGAATGAGTCAGTGTCAATTATAATTTTTTAATAAAAAAAAACTAATGGTGTATTTTTTACATTTTTAAATGAATAACAGGCCAGAAATTCAGTAAACTTTTCAAAATAGAATAAACGAGTTTCTAATAGGATTAATTTTGTGTAAGTGGTCTACACTAGCATCGGAGTACTTAAATCTCTTTCAGGCTGCAAATGTTGGAAAAATAAAGTCCTGTAACCTCATTCCTTCCTTCAAGCACACACTGCATGTCAGGGTACTGTACTCAATGCAAGGAATATGAGATAATATGACAGAAAGAGCAGGGAGGCTGGTGGCTCCCACATGCACTGTCTACACTGTGGATAGTCAACCACACCTAGTTGTTTTGTTTTGTTTTGTTTTTTAGAGATGGGAGTCTAACTATGTTGCTCAGGTTGGCCTTGAACTCCTGGGCTCAAGCAATCTTGCCATTTCAGCCTCCCAACTAGCTGGGACTACAGGCATGCACCACCATGGCACAAATGTACTTGTGCATGGAGTGGCCTCTTAGAATATGAAGGCTATGTTTCCCCTTTTATTCCCCAGGTGGCTTGGACAACTATGGGTGGTTGGACATCTGCACAGGAGGAGATATTCTACCAGAATTAAGACTGCAGGCTGTGGAACCATGTGGACCTACAACAAAGCCAGGTTCTGCTCTTCCCCAGCTTTGGAATCTAGAATGATTACTGAGATTCCTGGAATGAGTTTTTATAGCTGTAAAATTGGAGTAACAGTACCTATCACACAGGATTGATATGAAGATTTTACAAGATATCTGTGAAGAGTATAGCACAGTCACGAGCAAATAATCAATTTTCAATATGTAAAAGGCAACTCCTTTATGATGTTGGTTTATTATTCTATTACCGTTACCACTGACAGTACCATTATGTTGGTTTCTTCTGTTGGAGCCCACAAGGAATTACAGCTGACTCAAACTTTTCAGCGTTAGGAAGACTTTCAATAGGCACCTCACATAATCTAGAATACCACTTTCTCTTGACACTGAAATCCTGATGGTTGTTCCAAGGTTGAACTTGGGCTTCAGTTTGAATGCAGTGACCCCAAGTGATCCCATTATCTTCTAGAAATATCTCTTATACTTGCCTGGTCCAAAATATTTACTGTAATTTGGAAAGAAGAAATTTAAATATTTCAATAATAAATTTGAAATAAATAAGAAATTTGTATGGCATGGGACACATTATTTTATCAGAGTAAGCAACCAAAAATAAAAAGTGTCCCAGTTGTGTTATGCAATTTTTAGTTTTATAAGTTCTAGGTATTTCCTCCAAGGCTAAATATTTCTAAGATGACTTTGAGCACAGAAAAATATATAAATATACTATTTATTAATTAAAGGTTGTGGCCATTAAAATAAATTTTCCACTGTGTCTATCCTATGGCTAGCTGAACTGAGAAATCTGTTCTACCTTGGATTTCCATGTAAAGAGTAGACATTTTATGTAAACGTTTCTAAGTGTACCTTTTCTGTGATTGGTAGACTATGATGTTCATGTCACCTTAAAAGTTTTATAAAGTAGAATTTCAGAGGTAGAGTCTTCTAGAGTGTTTTTCATATTTGTTCTTAAAAATCCCATAAGTTCTCCATGCAAATAATATAGCTTCGGTTAACTCAAACATTAATTCAGTGTGGCTGGGAGAGTCTTAGGTAATCTCTTCTAGGCTCTAAATTTATTCAAGTCCTACGGTAATGTGGGTGGTTTGAGTTTACTTAATGTCTTCTTTGGCCTCAAAGTTTCAACCTTCACCTGCTGTTTAACATTCCTTTCCAGATTCTTAAAAGCCCTATTTACATCAAAAAGGAATTTTACGCCTTAATACAAAGTAATCATGAAAGAACATACTTGTCAACTTCATTCCCAGTAGCAGGCTTGCCTTCTTTTCTCCACTTTGAACTAAGGTAGCAATTTAACATAGCTTTAGAAAAAATGTAAAAGTAACACTTTCAGGATACATTTTTTCATTTCTAAGGTCAATAGTATGTTTTATTAGTTTACAGTATGATTTATTAGTATGATTTTTCCCATACCATAACATAATCCATGTAGCTCTCTATTTTTTAATCAGTTTGTCTAACCAAATTGCTCCTGGCATTTTTTTTTAAGTGATTTTATGTTTTTCAGTTAGCACATGCACAAAATTGCATGAAATTACATGGTAACCAAATGCTAAACATCAACCACAGAAAGGGAACCCGCACAGAATGTGGGAGGCTCCTTCTCAGAGCTTCCTGCTCCTGACTTGAGCATGACTTGACCTCTCCAGCAGCCGCAGAAAGGGCTTGGCACCAATGACCGTGACTCTATCTCCAGCCAGGAACACAACACACACCAAGAAATGTCACATAGGGGCCACGCATGACAGATCAAAGTGATTAGTCAATTTCAACAATATGGAGCATGTTATTCACACATCAGAATCCTCTTTATGATGTTAGAAATCACATTTCTTTAAAAAAAAAAAAAGAGGGGGGGGCAGTGGGAAGGTTGGAGTTTGAAAAGATAACTTCTAAGACAAGGTCTATCTGAGTCATATGTGAACTACATCATCCAATTCTAAGGGAACGTTCCATGAAATGTACCTGAGGCTCCTAGTTTTCTGTCTTCCTTCTGCTTTTACTTTGCAGAGCTGGAAAGAGATACTGTACTATGTTAACTAGTAAAACTAAGGATAAAAAATGACTTCTGTGACACAAAGATCAAGTCCAATCCTCCCTTGAAATCTTATCTAATTTCTCCAACCTATAGAAAGCTCTCCTTATCTCTAAATTGACATTATATATACAATCTGTATCAAATAATTTATTTAATCATTTTTATCTTGGTGCATTTAGATAATTTTTCTAAGACAATCAGAATGTCTTTAAGGCTAAAACCATTTTACTTTTCATTTTTCTTCTACAAAGCTTTATGCAGTGAGTATGGTGAGAGGGGTGATATTATCCAGTTAACATTTTACTATCTCAGTTGATTAACAAAGCAGGGCATGTGCTCCAATTGTGTATTGAACTTAATATTCAGCATTCACAAGCACATCTACTGATACAAAAGTACTCATTTTTTATAAAACAATCATCATTTACTTTATCTGAGAGAACATGTTTTTAATGTTGCCATGCTATGACCATAAAATATGCTATTTGTCATTTTCTTATAAGCACTCATTCAAGAACAAAATAATGTGCAGCACTCCAGAGGTTCATAAGATATTGTCTATTGTTGTCAAAAATCAACATTCCCTGGTAGATTGGGAGGAAATTAAATCCATATGATTCTCAAAAAGAACTCTCCACAAATTTATGAATAGTTTCTTGATATTAAAAAAAAATTCAATAGCTAACCAATGAGAAATGCTGGCCTAAACATTCCAAATAAAGTTAAAATTAAGAAACATTTTTCCAATTCAACCAGTCTGTCTCTGATATTTAGATTATGGCATCCCATTGACATTTTATGTAAGAATGGGAGAAAATTTTCCCATTTTAATTAAATTTGGGAAATACTAATCACTCATTATATGCATAACTCTTTGGAAGACTCTAGAAGGATACAAGTTCTGGTGCCCTAGCTGTGCATCCACAGGAAAGTTTCCCAGCGATGCCCTGAAAAAAGTAACTTAGCTTTTAAAATAGCATCATTCTCTATATTTCTCACTTAGATTCTTAAGATCAGTGTAAAAGTTTAACAATCAGTTCTCCAGGGAAAAATTAAAGCTATTATTTAAAGCATTTACTGATTTCTATGCTATAAGTCTTTACCTAGGGCTGATTTTAAGGTGCTTATGTGATGTCACTGAACACAGAGTAGGGAAAAGATGCCACTATAGCTCCTAGAAGCCATGCAAACCAGCTCTAGCACAACCACCATTCCAAAGGCTACATCTCACAACCGGGTCAAAGGAAGGGAAAGTTCTGCAGGATAAGGGATGAACTTGCAGGTGTAACTCTTGCCAGGGAACTAGTTAGAAAGGTTTAAGGCATTGTTGGCTCATAGAATTCAAAGGGAAGGAAATTGAATTTGTGAGACATCAGTATAAAAAAAATCTTTGAAAGGTAAAAGGGAGCAAATTTTAATCACTCTAAATAAGGAAGAACTCTCTAACAAGTTTAATACATACATGTTCTTCCTCTTAGAGGAAGTCTTAGTTTCCTCTAACCTGGAGAAGTTAAGGAAAGGTTGAAAGACCACTTAATATCAGATGGTTGAGAATACAACTGCTGTTGGAATGCTCCATAGTCTTTGAGATGATGAGCCTGGAAATGTCATTAAACTAAAACATAAAAACCTTCAGCCTTTCATCCTGTGATTTGAAGGAAGTTCATGGCTGTGAGGGTACATATATGAATTTATACAAGAGATTTTGAGAAGTTCATTTGTAACATGATGAATTTTTAAAATTCAAAGATGTAAATATTTTATATTTTATAAACATCAATCCAGTATAAGTTTTACTAATAATTTCAGGAACAATGTCATAATAAAATAATTTATATATCTATTCTAATCCCTATATTCTATCTTCAAGCTTGGAGATGGTTTTTGTTTGTTATTTATTTGATGTTTTATTTATATCATTTAGTATGGCTAAATACTTCTCAAAGTAATTTCATGTTTTTCTAACAACTACCGGTAAATCTATACTTCAAATAAATCCTAACCCAAAGCTTAGGAGGCTGATTATAATTCAAGGCACTTATCCCTCAATACAATGTGGTATATTAAAGTTTTAACTTTCTGTTGAAACCCTATATAAAACCACTTCACACAACCTACATTTTTCTAAGACTCACCAAGCATTAAGTCCTTTAGCCCTTGCAGTGTTTTCAAGCACAGGGGGTGAGCTAGTCCACTTGGTCCTTAATATACTCTAAAAATAACAATCCTCTTCTGACTCTTGTTGCTGTCCCAGCAGTCAACTCTAATCTCTCCCTCCAATATTAAGACATGGTTCTACTTGAAATACCATGTAATTGAAATTACAAGCTCTGTGTTCTTCCTGGCAGTAAGCCGAAATATTTGAAATCAGCTTATAGTAAGCATATATTGAGCTAGGAACTGTCATGTTACAATATGGGATTAATTATGGTCATTGTTCCAGTTTACCCAGGGGTCCACTAGCATTAAACACAGTAAGAATTTCCTAAGACACTGAGGTCTCCAATAATAGAGTGAGTCCCTTTCCAGATTTTTCTGCTTTCTCCAATAATAATTCTTTGTTTTGCTATTCTTTTGTGCCCAGTGCCTTCCAGCTAGTATAAGAGCAAACAATTTTAGAACCACAAAACATAGTATAAAAGCCATAGGATTTAGAGTAAAATAGTATGTCTCCTGACAGCTCCAGCAATTATTGGCTTTATGACTAGGAATATGTTAAGTTCTTAGAGTTTATATTCCCTATTCTTAAAAAGATGGAATTAACAATACCTGCCTACTTGGAATACTATTAAAATAAAAAATAATGTCTATAAAACTCCTTGAGCAACGAATGGACATAGCAGACACTGAATTCATAAACTGTAGCGATAATGAGGATGACTAAGAAAGGATCATTTCCCTGGGCATTCTGATTCTACACAAGCAGTGTACCAAAGCAAATCACAATGCCCTATTCATGTGGATTTTAGAGTTTTCTCTTTGTGGCTCACACATAGAATTTAATTTTTTATTGTAGTAAAACACGCATAACATAAAATTTACTATTTTACATTTATAATGTACAATTGAGTGACATTAAGTACATTCACAATACTGTGCAACCATCACTACTATCTAATTACAAAAAATTTTCATCACCCTAGAAGAAAACCTCAAACCCTTTAAGCAATCCCTCCCCTATTTCCTTTCCTTCCCGCCCCTGGCAATTCCTAATCAGCTTTCTGTCTATATGAATTAGCCAATTCTGGATATTTTGTATAAATGAAATCATTCAATATGTGACCTTTTGTGTCTGGCTTCTTTCACATAGCAAAACGTTTCAGTGTTCTTCCATGTTGTAGCATGCATTAGAACATCATATCTTATGTGTGAATAATAATATGTTGTACACGTTTATCCAGTTCATGTACATTAGGTTGTTTACACTTTTGGGCTGTTGTGAATAATGGTGCTACAAGCACTTATGTAAAGGTTTTTCTCTGAATGCTTCCTCTCAGTTCCTTTGACTATGCACCTAGGAGTGGAATTGGTAGACTCTATGGTGATTCTATGTTTCACAGCTTTAATTTTGTGCACTTAAAAATTGCAAGGGAGAAATTTAAAAAATTAGACATAAACTTATCATATGACCCAGCAATTCCACTCCTAGTAATCTCCCAGGAGAAATGAAAACATGTGTCCACAGAAAGACTTGCATAAGGATCTTTATAACAGAAATATTCACACTAGCCCTTTCCACATTAGTCCACACTAGAAACAACCCAATGTCCAACAGCTCATGAATAGATAAACAAAATAGGGTATATCCCACAACGGAATACTACTATACCAAGAACAAACTGCGTTGTCTTATGTAACATGGTCATACTACAATAGGGATGAACCTGAAACCTCAAAAACATTATGTTACATTAAAGAGGCCAGACACAAAAGACCATATACTATAGTACTCCATTTATTAATATGTGAAATGTCCAGAATAGGCAAATCTATAGAGACAGAAAGTACATTAGTGGTTACCTGACACTGGGAGTGGAAATGGATATTAACCATAAATGGGCATAAGGAATCTTATTGGGGGTGAGGACAATTGTCCTCAAACTGGATTATGATGATCGTTTCACAACTTGAAAATTTACCAAAAATGTTAAATTACATACTTAAAATGTGCTAATTTTATAATCTATAAATTATGCCTCAATAAAGTTGTAAAAACAATTGCATAGGAGAAAAATGCAAAGTAATATAAAATGCCTTCTCTCC